CCCCAGTGCTGCCAAATTAATTAATTAGGAAAAAAGATAACTGGAAAAATCTCCAAATATTGAAAAGTAAATGCCATTCTACGAAGTTTGGGCTTCACACTGTATCAAGAGAGGAGTTATTCAAGAAGAGTCACGTGTAAACTGCAATGCTCTAGGGTATCCTAACTTGGATGATTGGGTAAATAGGGATGCTGTATATGGGGTTAGGAAAAGCAGTTCTTGCTTGGAATAGGAACCTGAAAACAAAGCGTGTGATCCACACTCCACCTTTAATGCAAGTACTTCACTTCAGCTGTTGTAGCTTCTTACTGGGCAGTACAGGGATATAACCCAATCATTCTCCTCACTCGCTCCAGGTTACTCCCTGCCTGCTACCTGCATTTTCCCTTGGCAACTACTTTCTCTTTCTCAGTAAGGTCTACTCAGGTTTTCATCTACACATTCCATTCATACTTGCATCTGCTTTCAGCTCACTGGAGTTGTTTATGTTTGGCTATTTTATTTATTTATTTATTTTTTTGTGGTGCTTGTTAGGTCCCTGGCATTCTTGGGGCAGGCTGAGGGTCCCGAGGCTAACACCAAAACCAGACCCCCCGATTTATGACTGCTTGCAAAACTCTCCTGCTTGTTTCCCTGCTTGCAAAACCGCAGGAAATTCCCATTTCTCAACTAGCTATGCATGTCCCATTCCATCTGGTGATCACAAATAAATGGAGGCCAACAGCCCGGCTGTTCTCTGGAACACTCTCCCTCCCTGCTGTGTGGCCCCTCCTATAAAGCCCACTACCCATTCCAGCCAAGCTGCTGCACTCTGAACCCGAGAGGGGCAACCCAGCAGTTCCTTATAGTGCTGAGGATGAAACCCAGGGGCTCAGGCATGCTAGACAAGAGCTCTACTCCTGAGCTGTATTCCCAGCCCCCACTCAAATTTAGCAATTGTTTTTAACCTTGACCTGTGTGTCAAATTTAGCAATTGTTTTTAAATTTGACCTGTGTGTTCTGATTCATATCTACTCTCTGGCTCACAGACACTATAAGCACAGATAATCACAGCCTTGTTCACACCCTACTCTGGATTCCTGCTCAGTTTGGTGAACAATTCCATCTAGCTTCTGCCTAGCAGGGAACAAAGCTGGACAGTAAGTTTGATTTGGGGCATTTGATTTAAGGTTCTCAGAAGCAGTGGTAGAGATATATAAAAGCAGTTGGAAATAATGAGCCTTGACTCAGGAAAGAGATCTAAGCAGAAATACAGAGTTATGATCATGCACAAATGGGCTGCAATCAAAGACAAATGAGTGGTGAGCTTGATCAAGGACACTATAAAAGGCCTTAATCTGAAGGGCTTCAGGGGTATCTGTGAATCCACTGAAATTGTGAGTAGAATTCTGTATATGTTGCCATATTTCTGAGGTAGAGATTCACAGGTTTCATCAGCTTCTCAAATAAGTTCCTAAATCTCAAAGGCTGAGATATCACCTGGAGGGTACTAATTACCAAAATGTGCTCCAATTTTGGGATTAGAGACTATGGTGGAAAAGGGTATGGAATCTGTTAGTGTTTCACTTCCAGTTTACCATATGAGTCACAGCAGCCCTGAACACATGATTTTCTGTTTAGACTTGGGCAATATGTCCCTAAAATGTGCTGACTCAGACATCATTACTATGGGACTCCTTAGAACTGTATTAAAACCAGCATTTTTAGTTCTAGATGTTGAGATTCCAAATTCCCAGTCAAAATGTGATTTTTCTCCTACTCTCACCCCAAAAATAAGGGAATAATTTCCCTAGCCATGCTCTCTCTCTGCAATCCATCTCTGATAGAGATCTCTTTGCAAGCATTACTTTATAAAACTTCGTCATCAATAATTCTGGGTGTTTCAGCATCAAAGTAAAGTTACTACAGGCAGAAAAGCTTCCAAGATACATACGGTTTTGTTTGTAGTAGACCTATTCCGTAAGAAGGCCTATGAAACTCCAATTCAAAAAACACCACCAGCTGGTATGCATTACTACAAAGGGCTCAAGAATGGAATTATAGTTCACATTTTACCTTTTCTTCCTCAAAATTATTTGTCACTTTAGAGATGGCAGAGACAAAAGAAAAAAGAAAGATTTTCTTCTTAGTGTGCACTTGAAACCCTTTCAAAAGCCACAGTGTGTATGAAACAAATTCTTTTAGTCACATGGATTCAACCACAGCATTCATCCCAACCTACCACTAGAGAAAGCCAAGAATAATCTAGCCAAGCCAACTTGTATGTAGGACAAGTATAATGTCTCCTGTCCTGCGAAACCTCAAAACATCATTTACAGAAGGACCTGGTCTATAGAAGCCCTTTCAGCATTGTGCAGAAGAGAAAGCTATGGATTAGCAATTGCAAAGCTGTTGTTGAGGACTGCTATCCTGTCTGATGTCTGCTTCACTTTAATAAACCTACTTCACAAAGCTTTAGCACGTATTAAAGTTTTGGAAACTTAATAGGTAATTCATTTATACACATACACAACTTAATAGCTGGAAAATGTTCAGTTACATCTTAAAAAAAACACCTACTAAAATTAGCAATAATCTAAAATAAAATCACCTCAGTTAAGCTGATAGTTGGAAAGTTTTGTTTTTGTTTATCTCTTCAAATTATCAACATGTATCAAGCGACTTTAAAAATCTCAGTTTCTGCCCCTAGTTTACTCTCTTTTGTTAGTGTAACCTTAACGAAAACCCTAAAATATGTATAGATGTTCACTGTAGCACAATCTGTCACAGAGAAAAAGGTAAGATGAGCCATAGAACATCACTAGGGAAATAGCTTGTTTGTTCATTTATCATTCACTTACCACTATGTTTCAGAGAGGATTTAAGATGGTTCCTATGAGGACATTTAACATAACCACAAAAAGTTATGTTTAAGAAGGATGCACACAACAGGAAAATGCTAGTAACTATTAGGAGAAATAGATAAGATGCAAAATTGTGTGTGCATAAAGGTTAAGTATATCATACATAATCTCACCTTTGGTGATGGAACAATAATGTCACCATTTTGTGAATCAGCCAAAATGGCAGCTCCGCCCTTAAACAAATTCCCAAGCTCTAAGACAGCCCCACCCCTACCAGAGACTACTGCAACCTGTACTAACTTCCTTACCTTCCCCCTTCTATAAAAGCCACTGCTCGCCCAGACTCGGGGCTGTGCCATCTTTTCCCTGACCAGCCTGGCAGTTTGGGCCTGCCATTAAACTTTGCTCTGGATGTGAGACTTTTCTCGTGAGCTTTCTTTGAGAGCGGCGTTTTTCCTAACATTTGGTTAATGAAGTACACAGAGGAAGAGGGAAGACATCAAAATACTAAGAAAGTATGGTTCTGGGCAGTAATGTTACAAGTGATTTTTATTTTCTTACCTTTTTAGTTTTGTAAGTTCTATATAATGAACTTCTATTATTTTCATAGCAAAAATGCTTATATGAAAAGTATAAAAAGGATAGAGACTATTTAAAAATAAAAAAATTACCTTTATATATGTTTACAATAGCTCTCCCTATATTGCCTGTAATGATGAAGTGAAAAAAAATGAAAGTAATACCTAAGAGAACGTGGAAGCCTAGTAAAATTAGCAAAACTCTAAACTGAAATCACCTCCATTGTGCAAGATGTTCAAAAGTATTTTTAAAAATTTTATCAGCATGTATCAAGCACCTTAAAAAAAACTCAGATTATATGAATAAACGAAAAAAAAAAAACCCTCAGATACTCTGACCTGGTTAGATATAAATATCATGAAACAAACTTTTTCTCAATTAAGGCATCAGAAGAAAGATAAAATAAAAAGGAGAAAAAAAAAAGAAAGATAAAATAAGATGATATGCTATGAGGTGTGGGAATGAGGGACAGTGACATGAACAAAGATGTCCAAAGAAAGCCAAGCATTTTCATCTTGGACATCAAACAGCCTATGGGTGAGCCTAGCCTAACATGGCTCTCTTGTCTGAACTGAAGTTTCAAAAAGAACAGCCTTTAGAAACAGGAAGTAGAACTGTGGCTGCCAGGGGCTTGGGGAGAAGGGAATGGAGGGATGTAGTTTAATAGGTACGGAGTTTCTATTTGAGAATGTGAGAAAATTCTGGTGATGGATGGTGGTGATGGGTAAATGTATTTAATGTTACTGAAATGTATACTTAAAAACTGCTAAAATGGTAAATTTTAAAAATTTAAGCTGGGTGTGGTGGTTCACACCTGTAATTCCAGCACTCAGGAGGCAGGAGGGGTTACAAGGCAAGACCCTGCCTCAAAACCAAACAAATAAAAACAAAATAAAACAAAATAATGTAATCTGGATCTATAAGGTCTGATCTGAAGTAGACCTAACTGGTGAGATGTTTATTCAGATTAGCTCTTTTGCGTTTTCAGCACTTTCTGAAACAATATTTTATAAAGTCATGAATTTAATGTATTAAAAGAAAAAGTGTAGTTTCACCTTATCAGCAAATTTCTCTCGGGGCTAATAAGTTGTACCTGTTCAATACTCTTTCTCCCTTCAGGGATCATCACATTACACCCCGTCTAACCAAGGGTTTAAAAGTAAAGTAGCCATTAGTCTTAAAGAAAGGACTAGAAGCACAGTCACTAGTACTGTGTTGTGTGGCACAGCTGTGGTAAGCAACAGCGAGCACTGTTCCCAGAAACTGTACAAAAACATGTCAGAACTGTCCCACAGCTCTTACAAAGAGCCAGACTTATCCTTAAAATGCAGACTTTTGGTAATAAAGCATTCCAGAAATAGAGCTAATCTAACTTAATCTGTTGATCATAAAAAAGCAAGAAATAGGGCTAGAGGTGCAGCTCAAGGGGTAGAGCACCTGCACTGCCAATATATATATATATATATATATATATATATTTTTTTTTTTTTTTTAAATCAAGAAATAAAATGAGGAAAAACTACTCAGGACTCAAAACCCACTTCTAGCTTTCCCAGGCAGTTTGGACATCTTGCTCACCCTTCTGGTGTTCTCCAGGATCTTGGGATCGGGTTTCCCGTAGTTGGGTGGATTGGCATATGGGTCGTACCCAAGTTTGGCAAGCATGGGTGCGATCACTGCCATGTCCTGTAAAACATCTGGAGGTATCTTCCCGACCCACTTTGACAGAGCTCCCACGTTGACAGGCTTGATGACTTGGTCTGTGGATCTCTCCACTCTGAAAACAATATGAAGAAATATTCACTTACAAAATTTAAAAAGAGTGTTAAAAACCACTGCAAATTCTTTTTGGTAAGTTCAAAAAGTATAACTGTCAGGATTATTAAGCAATCACAAAAAGAGAGCACATAAAGTTTTTATACTTTTACCAGACTTCGAAACCATCTGTACAGAATGGCTTGACACATTACTAACAGCATCCAGGAAAAAAAGTAACAAAGATTAGAATGCTTAGAAAAATTGCCAATTTATTTGAAATGCATTTTTTAAAAAAGTATTGATGGATGACCACTTGGAACAGATAGATATACAGATGTGTGATAAAGTAAATGTAGCAAAATGTTAGTTGTAGGATTTAGCTGGTGGGTATAATTCTTTCAATACTTGTGTATGTTTGAAATTTTTCAATATTAAACAAGGGGGGGGGTGTGTGCCACCCACCTGTAAACCACTATGAACACAAAATATTCACTTGTACTATTTTTCCATTGACTTTCAATGAACCCTATTTGTACAGAAGAAAAAAAAAGTGTTGTTTATGATGTTCAATGTTACAGGACATATGTGCTAGACCTGGAAATTTAAGCCTAGCATGGTTATAATCACATGTGGTTATAATCTGGGTTTAAATAGCATCTGAATTAGATCCTGGCCAGATGACTGTGAGTGGGAGTGCTCAAGAGAGGCTTACATTCCGAGACAGACACCAGGCAAACCTAATCCAGATTCTCCCAGAGAATCATCATGGATAAGAACCCTGCAAAAGGCTCTACCCCTAAAACAACAGACTCTACTCTGGGATTCTGTGAGGCCACCTACCTAGCCTTCCTCCTACCCCAACACCACATCCTTTTCTCCTTCAAATTTCTCTCCAGGACTCTGCTTAACCTGCCACCCTCTTTGCTCTCTAATCTTCTGGTAGGTCTATCTCTAATGACCTTTGCTTGTTGTTCCTAACTGGGGTAAATAATACCGGAGTTTGCTCAGGACAGGTCCAGTTTACACTTACTGCAGCCTAATCTTTTACCCTCCAAGGCTTGTAGGATAATTACACATGCCTTGCTCACAAGTGCTACATGAACCTCAAAACCAAGATAGGCAGTCTTGATCAATGTCACCTATCACTAACTACAAAGCCTCCTAATTCCCCTGCAGTCAGCTTTTTTGTCCACTCATATACTATTCTGCCAGACCATAAGGAGGGTCTTAATCTCATTAGCACAGCAGCACCTAATATATTAACATAGAATAAATGCCTATAAATGTTTATTAGGTGAATAACTAAAAGCTTCTTTTCATGCAAAAAACAGTTTATAGAAACACGCTCGAGACATTACAACTTTTTTTTAAGCACATATTAATAGCGCAGGGGAGTTTCATTGTGATAATTCCATAGATGCTTACCGTCTGCTTTAAACAAGTTCTCCCCCTCTGTTATATTCCCTTAGATCCCTTCCCTCCTCTCTGCCTTTTTCAAACTGGTGTTCCATCTTTATAAGACCACATCTAATCAACATGCTGGATGAACACTGGAGAACATCCAAGTGCTAAGCTGCATGATATTTACTGGGTGTGCATTAGAAATTTCAAAGAATGGGGATCCTGGCTACGGAGATAAAAACCTCCTGGGGAAAAAAACTTACAGTAAACAAATAGTAATATTTTCTGTTCATCTATGTCTAGTACTTTGTATATATCTAATTTAATTTTTAAAACAACCTTAGAAGAGAGATTGTATCAGTCTTTATTTTTCAAAAGTTAAACTGAACCCTGTAAAAGTAATTGATTTTTCCAGGATCACACATATTCTAGAAATAATGAAGTGAGACTTGAGCCTACATCTGACTCCAAAGGTGTTTCCCCAGTATCTTACTGTCATCCTGTTGATCACCTTAATTCTTACATTATATACATCTCTGAAAACTGCATCCTTTTGCTCTACAGAGCAGAGTGGACAAGTTGGTTTTCATGATGATAAAAACATTCACTGTAGTCTATGTACACCAGAGACACTGTGCTGACCTGGTGATGTTTAATGACCTTCTCTTCAGGTAGAAGACAGCATGATTTGCAGCGTGTCCATGGTATAAATATCCCTACTTTGAGCTACTTGCTGCAGAACTGGGAAAAAATGCACAAATGGGCTCTCTAAAGCTGGGGTGGGCCAACTCCAGCAGACCCCTGGATATCTATGAGGCTACAATCTCTTATCCCAAACTTGAAAATCTAAACAGTTCAAACATAAATACTTCCTTGGAACTCATTTTGAGTCAAGAGAGATCAGGAAAGATGAGGCACAGGAAACAGCAGCCAGGAATTCGGAGATGAATGCTGCATTAATAAATGGCTTGATTAAAAGCACACAGTCACTATTTTCTTTGCTTAAAGCCATACGTGCATTACCAACAAGCTGCAGCATTTAGTAAAAAGAAAAAAAAAGGAAGAAGAGCTGCTCTCCAGCTGACTTTGCCCACTTGCCCAAAAATGATTAGTGCACTGAGAAATGAGCAAGGACATCTTAAAGAAAGACACATCCTGGGAAAGAACTCGGGAAAATGACTCCTCTGGGCACAAAAAGTGTCTACAAAGAAAAATACTTATCACAGGCTGGACACCTGTCTTTAAGGGAGCATCTGGCAGGACCCATCCTTTGTTTAAAGGGATGCTCACACATCTATGTCACAGTGACAAAATTTAAGGAGCAGGCCAACCTTGAAATCACTGGGCTCAACTGAGAAGACAGGATAACAGCAAAAGCAACTGATTATACAGTGTGTCAGAACAAAGAGAGCCACTTTTCTCAAGGTAAATTCAAGCTAAATCCCCAACCTGCTTTTTCACCATAAAAACCCCTGATGTTACAGCACTTTATTGTACCTGTTATCAGATGTGTCTGCACTCATGTCTGGGCAGTGTACCATGTTTCTATGTTTCCTCTGCTTTACTTTACTAATGAACTTTTTTAGCCTCTACCTCGATGTGTCTTTAAAATTATTGTCTGTGATAATATCACAAACTAAGTACCCAAAGGCCTGGTGGAAACCTCCTCCCTGAAGTGTCATGAGTTCCAGTAACAATTTGGCAGCAAAATCTTATGTGAACCAAAAAGGTGTGTGTGTTTCTTTATTCCACTAGGTATGAACAGTGCCTCACAGACCATATCACCCTTCCCAAATCCAGACAATTCTGAACTCTGAAACATACATGTAATGTTAAGCATCTAGATAACACTGAGTCATGACTGGGAAGTTGGCTTAACCTAAAAAATGATGAGGAATAAGTGAAAGAATTTAACAATAAGACTGATATGAGCATGTTAGTATCAGCATTTGATATAATAACTATAGTAAGAGGAGACTAAAGATCAGGCAACTAAGGTCAGGAAAATCAGGAAAGACACTGTATTTTGGAAGAGTTTAGAAATGATTAAGGTTTCAATTGGATCAAAGGAGATAAAAATAGATAGAAGACAAATTCCAAAGATACTATTAAAAACTAGTAAGTCCCAGTGGCTAATTAGATATGGTGGGTGACAGAAAGGAGTCTATGATTAATTCATATCTGACCCAAAGAACTGAATGGATGGTGTCATAGCATTTATGTTGCTGCTGTTTTGTTTGAGGTAAGGAGAAACAAAGAAAAAGATATAAATCGATAGCAATCAGAAAGCTACCAAAAGTCTAGAAAAAAACTGGGGTTGACTGTAATGCACAAGTGCTCAAGAAGCACCAACTATTATCATCTCACACCATGCGTAGCGCTGGTTCATAAGGGCAGTGACAGCCTTCATCATTATGACTGAATAAATGATCTGAAGTGAAAGTCTAATCATTCCTTGTCTGGAAGAGGAAGAATGTTAAAATGAAAGACTTTGGTAAGGGTTTTGTTATGGAACCACGGAGTCACAAGATCTACCATACTAAACAGTTACCAAGGGTGCTAAGGGGAAGAACATGGGAAGGCCTACTGCATATCAACAGGAGCTTCTCTTTAGGATCAATATAAATGGCATTTTATATTTACTTAGCATAAAATTCAAACTCAACAAAGATGTTTTAGATACCTGCTATGTGCCAGGCCAAGTGTTAAGATACTAGACATGTAAAGATAACTGACTAGCACCAGATACAGTGGCTCATTCCTGTAATCCTAGCTACCTGGAGGTAGAAATCAAGAAAATCATGGCTTGAGGTTAGTCCTGGAAAAAAGTTTGCAAGACCCCATTTCAACCAATAAAAAAGATGGGTGTGGTGTGGTGCACCTATAATCCCAACTATGCAAGAAGCAGGATTGGGAGAATAGTGGTCCAGGCCAACCCAGATATAAGCATAAGATCCTACTAAAAAAATAATTAAAAAAGGATGGAGACATGGCTTAAGTGGTAGTATATCTGTCTAGCAAGCACAAGGCCCTGAGTTCAAACCCCAGTACTGCACTAACTAGCCCATAGTCCACCTCTTGAGGGGTTCAGAATCCAGTGACAAACATCCACATGACTAGTAAGCAGCATGATAATTGTAGCAATAGGCGTTAGAAACAATGTTATGGGAATGCATGTCAGGCCATTCCCATGGGCTGGGATATGAGTTAGGCAAGTCACTAAACAGCTAAAGCAAGGGCTACAATCTGTGGGTCACAGATCAAATTAATTATACTTCCTGTTTTGGGCTGGTCTTCAAGCTAAGAATATTAGATTTCTTTAAAAGAATATTTTATAATACAACAAAATCATACGAAACTCAAATTTCAATCTCCATAATAAAAGTTTTATTAGAACACAGCAAAATATATCCTTTATGTGTTGTCTACAGCTGCTCTTCTGCTACAATGGCAGAGCTGGGTAGTTGAGATAGAGACCATGTGGCTCAAAAAACACGAAATATTTACAAACAAAGCTCATTAAAAAAAAAAAAAAAGTCAACCCTGATCTAAGAATACGTCCTAAGAAAATACAGGGTGTGTGTGTGGCGGGGGAGAGGTGTCCTCAGGTGCTGCCTT